AAGATACATTGTCTTGAAGTTGCACTTTTTGCATGCCTTGTTCGACAATAATAATACTTAATTGCATGCCGAGCAGAAAATATTTTCTGTGGGAGACTATTTCGGAAATAAGCAAACACGCATCTGGGAGGTCTCCCTCAGGTAGCTTGTAAACCACACATTTGGTTTACATATTTTACCTAATCGAAAACGAGCTCTCCGTTTAAACAGCAAAGGCTATTCCCATAAAAGACGATGGCAAAGGCGATTTTAGATTTTAAATCGTGCTTGAAGACTCACTCGACAATCCAATACATCCACCTCGAGATATTTTTATAGATTAAAACCTATATACTTTCTTCCGGGTTTTGGACACTACGGTTGCATTTAATGGGGATCCATTAGAGTGGAAGGGATTTGTGAACTGAACAGGCTATTGCAAGCTGCACTCAAATAACCCAGCAAGAAAAAAAAACTGACAAGGGCAGAGCTTTTGGATATCTTTTACGCTGATTCCGAGATGTGCGACCAGAACGTGCAAAAGGCTTGAAATGAAAGATTGCATTAACGCACCACAAGTCACGGGCTCATAGTTGCGGCAGACCTCTCCGTTGGTATCAGCAATGGTAAGCTAGAATGCAGAAGTAAACCAGTTTTTCAGTGTCAATGGGAGACAACTTTCTTTCGCAGTATACAGAACATGTTCGAATAACCGCTCGTTAAGTGAATGAAATCCTAAACGGTCACATACATGTTATACCTGTTTTTAATACTGAAAACATCGTCTTCTTATATGCAGCGCCTGTCAAGGAAGCAGCTGCTTATGAACATATTCCTCAACAGTTTCCTTTAGTGGTAAAAACACAGTAGTTATCGAAGTCTTAGCCGTGCAACAGGCGAGAAAGGTGGTGTTGCAAACTGCTGGAAGAAGCACTGTGGAGTATATGATCGCCAGTGCGCTAGGTGGAGCTAGGAGACTAGAGGGCAGCCTAATTATGGTTCGTTAGGTCGTTAAAGTCCACAACGACAAGCAAAAATGATGTAGGAATGCAAGACCGGCTATCAGCTGAAATGAATGACTCAGTGAACTCACGAAATTATCTGCACACTCCTTCTTTACGGCGCATGTCACGTGTCCTTCGCCGTTCATGACGTTAATAGGGGAGCCCAATTGAGGCTGGATACACTCTAAAATGCAAATAGATTTACTCGTCGATGACATACGATGGAGAAACACGTAAATACGATAACCGGTTTTGATTCAAGGTCATAGTAGTACACCCAGCTTATTAAAATCAATAAAGGACGTTGAAATAGCCAAAAATGAGCCACTGAGAGGCTGCATGTTTTGTTTAATTGGCCGACATTTGCCAAAGCATGTTTAGTAGCAATACCGCCAATTAAATTTCTTTTAAGTATTAACTTCGTTCCGCATTACCTTGTATTCCTAGCTTAATTTTACGTGATGTTGTTGTGTTTTGTTTTCAAGAAGAGTATAATGGACGTTTAAGAAGTCTGTCAAAAATAAGTTGTCAGACATTAAAATAATTTAATACACATAGATTAAATGAAACCAGATTTATCAGAGCATACTTCTCTAGAAGAAAGTATTTCAGTTCAGACTTAAAAAACTAATATTTACAAATCTACGTGACGTCATGCCCGGAATAACAGTAACAATATATGCTGGAAATGTTGTCTTTGAACGGCATGAAATTTTTCCCTCTTTTAAGAACCCTCCGTAATTTAGAGCTAGAGTGACCTCCGCAATGTCGAATTTTTTTGTTAAAAATAACCACAGCATGTGTAGAATAAACTACACTGCACTTAATAAAATAAGGGATTTGTCATGTCGCCTTAAACTGACTGAGGCATTCTCAACATGTTTTGTAAAATAAATGCTTAACGGGACTTGCTTGTTTTGACTTGACTCCATGTACCGCCC